AATACAATTAATATAATTAATTAAAATTTTAATCAATTTTTCTTCAATACTTTGTATAGACAAATTAATAACTAATAATAAAGTGGAAATTGTATAAATGTTAATGTAATCGCTACACTTTATTTATTTAAGTTATTAAGCAACTACCTATACTGTAATTAATATATTATGTATTCAAAACATTTAAAAATAATTATATTATTACATGCTATTATATGGGAACTGGRAGTACTAATTTGAATCCTGGCGGTGCTATATTATACTAAAATAACAAAGTSTTAACGGCATTATCATTATATTATGCAGATCTTATTAAAAAAATTGTTATTAGTATAGATTCTTAATTCTTATATTATTTTGTTTAAGTATTAGAAATTGCAACGCGGTTTCTACGGCACTGGRCACAGCTAGGATTATTTTTATTCGATTTTATTMTATCAAACGTGAATAATTCTGTACTGACTTGTACTACTGACAATTTTTCTGTACCAACGGTGTCRAATATTTAAAGTTTAAACTTTAAACAGTTATTWATAAAATATAAAACAATAACAACTGTATTATCTAAACATTCGATATTTGCGCAGTTTTACGCATACCTCGCCGGTTGTCGTTTGCGCATCACTATATTGATAATTTTGACCTTTTTGCTTTTTTGTAAGACGGTTGCGCATCGTTCGATTTTTGGGTTATACATCGCTTTGAGCATTGACCGCTTAAAAATTTCTACATAATTTGYGCATCAATATTATTCAACAATAGAAATGAAAAAAGGTGTACCTACTACATCTATAGAGCGCAATAAGTTGTTTTCTAACTTTATTGGTCTTAAAATTTGCTCATCTTTAAATTTACTCACRCAATATTAAATTTTCAAATATTTCATAGGTATACCTAATGTAATTTAACGATAGACGGATAGACCAACTAAAAATGTGATTTTGTAGAATTACACTTTCGAGTTTTTATGAATTTTGTTAAAATTTGAGCTTTAAATGTTTTATGTGTATATTAACTATTTTTAATTTAAAAAAATCTTAAATCAATGATTATCTGTATAATATTATACATAATGTAACACACTTTTTTATACTATTCTATTGTTTACAATATTGATGCGCAAACGACGCACTATAATTTAGGACAGGTGCATTTAGACGATGTGCAAATGATTACGGTTGCATAATTATATCTGTGATCTGTCATATAAAAGTATTTTKCTTCAGATCATTACCTACAATCTAAGAATATTGGTCCCCGTTTAATAAATTAAACTTGATAGTTGTTTTACAGAAAATATATAAGAAGTAATAGAACCACACTTATATTTATATCTTAAGTTAAAAAAAAAGTATTTTGAAACAACGAATGTCGAAAAATAATCATTAGTCATGCTGCATTATACTAAGTATTTCATTATATCATAAGTCTTTGACTTGTGTAAAAGTAATTTTGCACCAAAATTATGATAATATAGACAGATAGGTAAGTAATGAAAAAACAAATTACATTCTCCGGTATGTTTGCATTTGATTACTCCGATCTCTTCAAACTCGTGACAAGCGACTTTCTTTATCGGCATAATTATTGTTTGTATATTTTCTGAATCCGTTGCTAATATTCCAAATTTTATATCATGTCCCTCGGTTTTGAACTGCCACCTTATGGACAATAGTCAAACGTTATACATTTATAAAAAAATAAGACCAATTATATTCAAACTTCTGTTTCTGTAAATTTTTTAATTTTGATTTGGCTAAAATCTATTATTCTTTRTAAATCATGTATCTTTTAATTTATWAGTTGTAAATGTATTATTATAATTTATAACTTGATATTAATTAATTATGAATGAGTTGATTTTTTCAATTTTTTGCTTGATAAATTTGATAATTTAAGAATTTAAAAATTATAATAATATTCGATTATAAAATTTAGTATTTACCTCAGAAAACTTTGTGGTACAGTAACTGTATATTTCAGGTATAGTTTATCGCCTTTCTTTATATTTACTAAGGTCATATCATCAGAATTTGTGAGCTTTTTGTCATTTTTTAAGTATAATTCCTTTGGCACTTTTCCTCCTTGATTTATCTAATAATATAACAACACATTGTGATTAATAATTAATTACATAAAATAAAATGACCAATCAATAATACAATGCTTATTAATGTGTTTATACATGCTCACCCCATTTTYCCTTTAATAATGAAATTGTTCATGTTTTGCTTTTTAGAATTTTTAAATACACTGAAAATTTAATTCTTGAATTGATTTGTTCCTGTAGTACTTAGAGAGTGTCCTGTGACGACTTAAACTTATGTTTTTAAAATGAGAATCCTTCCCTTTTTGAATTTATTTTATTTGCTAGATAATTTTTCAGAAAATGTTAACGTCTCAGAATCAAAATCCAAACAAGTAGTCTCTTCGTTATTTAACTTTGTGAATTAAGGGTAATATGTTCATGATAATGGGAAGGCTATGGTGATTTAAAAATGATTTCTGAAAACCACTTTTAATGGCTATTATCCTTAGAATGAATATTTAATAACTGATGAGAAACTACTCGTCCGAATTTTGAATATTGATATATCGAAATTAAAGAAAAACATATCCACAAAATAATTTACTGTAAAATAGAGGGTTCTCAATTGAAAAAAGAAACAACAACAGTTTGTATCGCCACAGGGGGCTCTATTTAATTAACACAAAAAATAAAATCAAGAATTTAATAAAAAGGTCGAGTTTATTTAAAAATTCCAAATATCATAATTTYAATGATTTAATCATTGAAGGAAAAGTTGGGGGTGAGCATGTTTGGTGAGTTATTCTGTATAGATGTTTATTATAATATAATGCAGATGTATTGTGTAGTGTACGGTATTTATATGGTACATTCAATATACTATACCTATATTATATTATCGGTACTCATGATCAGGGACGGATCCAGGGGGAGTATAGAGGCCTAGACCCCCCCGACATTTTACTCCTCATATTAAATATTAAACAACAAATAAACAAAATCTAAACTTCTTTCCACATTGTCTCTTTATATATTAAATAATCAATAATTTATTAATTAGGTACATTGATTATTTATACTATAAAGTCATAGTATATTATGACAATATTTTTAAAATAAGAATAACGTATATTATATTATAATTGTATTTGTGTTGTAAAAAAATTGTTGCCCCCCCCCCAGATCTTTGCTATGGATCCGCGCCTCCTCATGATATTGTAATATCATAAGGTGATCGTTAATGAGCTCAAATAGTATGTAAGTAATTAGTATAATAGAATAATAACCAACAATAATATTACGTGTAAGTTAATGTATTATTATTATGCTTACAACGATGGGGCACCGGCTGAGTCGATCGTTCTTGTGAAATACTRCGCTCTTCGTATTTTTAACGTTAATTACTTTATGTGAATATCCTATGGCAATGGAGATAGAAGTAAAAAGAACAAATAAACGACCGCGGAGGCTTAGGTACTACACAACACGCATTTTACATACTATACGTAAATAATATAAAATATGGTTCGTTTATACGACGCACATGTCAAATAGACGGCTCGCGAACGTTTAAAAAACACGTATTAAGCTATTATATACGTTATATTGTGTGTGTGTTTTTTTTAAGGTGATGGCCATAAAAAGCGATAAATAAATATTTATTGCACGTTTCCGCGGTGTGGTATCGACACCGACTGACTACTGAGTGAAGGTGCCTAATCGGAAACGAAAAATCGGACAATAATTTTCTACACGTGAGCCTTGAAACTTCTCGCGGTTCGAGGGTGCGAATAAAGATCAATGGCGTAAGTACAGCTGTGCATATAATATTATAATGCGTTTACGCAAACGTGTTTCAATTAGTATAGGTAATAGTTGGTATATAGAATTTAGAGAATYTCTAACTCAAAATATTTTTATCCAAATRGTTTATAAATAATTAGAAAMAAAAAATAGAAATATTTTAAGATGTTTTTCGACTTGCCTTGGTGGTGTATCTGGGGTTGCCGTCGGGATCCTTCAGACTGCCACCGAAATACGCTGGGTACTGGTCACTGTCGATGGAGTTTGCCAACGCTGGCATCCACTTGCTCGGGTCTGCTTTATATATTATGAACTTGCTCATTGTGTTGCCGGTAAGTATGTTTTTAAGTATGTTGAACGCAAAAGAGAACACTTTGGGAGCTGAAACCCGTAAAAAACATTATACATATTTTCTTTGTGGCATTGTGCGTAGTTTCGTTCAGGAAGCGATCCGTGGTGAGAAAAATTATAAACATAAAAAAGTTGTACACACCATTAATCGCGTAACATGCCTTCAATATTTCTGGGTAATTGGCCTCGTACATTTGTAACAAGTTGATTATCATCTCGGCCGCTATACATTATAACAAAAAAATTATTGCCAATGTCAAATTTTCGTTATTTAAATGTTTAAGTGATCCCTTATAAATATAATTAGCGTTTTTTTATATGCCATTAGTTATGTATCTCGACGTGACAACGTAATTTATTATTTTATACCAATAAATTATATGGACAGATCAACGTCAGGGAGGATATTTTGAGTGACTTAACACATAAAAAAGAAACATTTCAAAATAATGTTGTATTGTCAAGATGACGAATGTATATTTTTATATTTTTTATCTACACCACAAGACATAAAAGATCTTCCGATAATATCTTATATTGTTCTAGACGATCGCTGCGAAACGAACACCTAATCGAGAGCTATCGATCATTAACTGCAGCTCCTGTTTGACACTTAAATTTTAAATTGGTAGCTACCTAAAAAGTTTACCGTGACATAATTATTGMAATACGTGGACATAATAGTTTTAATGAGGTTGTTTAGTTGGACAACATCATTTTTAAAAACATTAGTTTGGTTTTACACGTTCAACATTAATATAAAATATTTCTTATTCATCAAGACTCAAGAGTAGAGTAAAATCACGAAAACATCACAATCATACATTTTAATCACACTCGAGAGAAAAGTAAATGCTGACTTTTAATTAATTGTTGTGTTATTGTTGTTGTTGTTGTTTGTTTAAATCAAGTGACTTGTACAATTACCTAGTAATTAAAGTTGTATTATGGTGTCTAAAATGAAGTATACTTAGTTTAATACATATTACATACATTTAATAATGAATAATATAATCATTTATARCCTTATAAAAACTCTAAATGATAAACGAGATGATAAATATCTTTAACACAGTACCGTAGCCAAAAATATATTTTTGGGGAGATCATTAATTTTTATAGAATAATAAAACACACGTTTGACCTATACAAATTTATTTTTGAATATATAATAATAATAAAAATTAGTTAGTCAGTTAAAATTAAATTACTATCTTAGCATTAGAAATTAGTATTAAAATGTTTAAGGCATGATAGGATAATAATAAAGTTACATTTTTAAWTCTAACCTACCTCCTTTCTTTTTTATAAGCCAATAAATCAGTGTACATTAATGTACCTTATTTTAATATTTTAAGTTATTATGACAAGCCATTTATAGTTTTTTCACTAATCAAATTTCTTAAATATGTTTCGATTATTTTTAGGCTAGAGAAGCTTCTTTCATCTGAAGCAAGTTGTCACCAATAAAATTGAATATATTTTTAATAATGTTTTATTATTAGAAAATATATCTCCAGTGCTACATATTAATGCATCTCATGGTTTAGTTGGCATTATATTTTCGTTTTCGATTTCATTTATTACAACTCAAATAYTTTAATATAGATAATGGATGTAGTATATTATATTCAATTAAATTTAAATCTTCTTCATAAAAATCCCTCACTAGCGTTTAAAGTGATCACACAAAATATAGAAGATTCCTCACTAATCAAAATCGAACTTCTGGCAAACCTTTGTGAAAAAGAGAAATGTGACGTGTTATGGACTAAGAAACGCGCCGGGATGAGGTTAGCCCTCGTTMAAAAACACTGTGAATAAATCTAGTCATCAAGTTATCATATCAAAAATACGAAAGCGTAATATATTTCAAACCAGGACTAGTGGTTAAAAGCGCAGCCACCAGCCACAGAAAATAAACCGAAATACTAACTATTGAAGTATGCAACTATACAATAATTACACTAATTACAGTGTATAAAACACCGAACACTGMAAACTTCACCTTCGAAAAACCAACGGAAACGATGTGAAGAAAAATCAAAATCATAAGTTGGTTTAACCATTATAAAATGTACTTATGTACTGAAGTAGATTTTGGTAGACAACCAGCCACACAGTAAAGTAAAAATTTCTTGATTTTATTTAAACGTTTTATCGAAATAT